AGACCATCCACACTGATTCCTAATTACTTATATCACTTCTTGGACAATGATACAGAAAGAAGTGTTTAAGAAAGGAAGAGTCTACCCTGATTTCATTAGCAAAATCTTGGGTAGAATATAATTTTTTGTTGAGTTCAAAGCCATTTTTGCTCTCCCCCTTCTAAGTACCACTGACTACTCTTCGGGGGAGGATAGAATCAGTTCATATCTTTCCTTTCAGAATCTATAGGAGAAGGTGAGCCAAACAGGTGGAAGGGAAAAATAGAAAACAGGAAGGAAAAATGCTGTAGACCATTTTTAAAAAAAAGTGCTGGAAAAGAGAAATAAAAAGACAACTCAGAAAAAGGGGCCATTCACCTTATCTGCTTCAGATTTACTAAGGGTCTGCCCTCCCTAGCCTCCTTCATGGACTTGGAACATATCTATGTCCTATTGGACAAATGTATCTATTTGTCTGTTTATTCCAGAGGTCCCCATCCTTTTGGGCACCAGGGACTGGTTCTATGGAGAAAGGTTTTTCTACAGACTGGAGAGTGTGTGGTTTTGTGTGCTGCCTGCATCCCATGGATGGGGCTTTGTGCAGACTGGCATGCCACAGCCCGGAACCGGTCCACGGAATGGGGGTTTGGGACCCCTGGTTTATTCCATCAATCCAAGTCAGTCAATTAGGGATTATCAGACAAACCAGGACTTTAAATCGCTGTCTCTGCAGAACACCTCCTGTCCCTATTTTCCAATGCCTCATGAACAGACATTTGTCAAATGAGTTTCATGTCTTCGTAAACTTTATAGAAAGATATTGGTCATGAAAAACAAGTTCCTAGAATAATATTGGCACCAGTTTAATTCCAGCTGACTGCAGAGAAGCACTCTCCCAAATAAGTCCTAGTATAGGAGTGGCCTTCACAACTTAATCTTCTGAAATTCAATACAAAATAAATATGTAACTTTCACATGAAACTTGTGTTCTCATGCAAAGGTCATGTTTTCTTTAACCGTAATTTGTTCACACTAAGCTACCCTGATGTTGGGAAAGATTGAAGGCAAAAGGAAAAGGGGATGGCAGAGGATGAGATGGTTAGATAGTGTCATCGATACAATGAGCAGGAGTCCGTGCAGACTCAGGAAGACAATGGAGGACAGGAGGGCCTGGCATGCTATGGTCTGTGGGGTTGCATTGGAGATGACTGAATAACAAGTCATGCTTTATATACAAAATGGACTTGATTTGTGACTACTAAAACAAGAATGCTCCACATTTTAAGTTAGCATGAGATATGAAACAATATAAAAATAAAATATAGATAATCCTTAACTTACGACCACAACAGAGCCCCAAATTTATGTTGCTAAATGAGACAGTTGTTAAGTGAATTTTGCCCATTTTAGGACCTTTCTTGCCACATTTGTTCAGTGAATCACTGCAGTTGTTAAGTTAATAATACAGTTGTTAAGTGAATCTGGCTTCCCCATTGATTTTGCATGTCAGAAGGTCGTAAAAGGTAATTACATGACCCTGGGACACTGCAACCATCATAAATATGAATCAATTGTCAAGCATTCAAATTTTAATCACTTGACCATGTGGATGCTGTAGTGGTCGTAAGTGTGAAAAATGGTCATAAGTCACTTTTTTCAATGCAGTTGTAACTTTCTGCAGTCACTGAGTGAACTGTTGTAAGTCAAGAACTGCCTGTACTTGTTTATATTGCTTTTTTGTTGTTAAATGCAGCATATTTTAAATAGGATATTGTCATAGGAAGAATTGAGGGGCAGACAAGTGACCCAAATTGTCAGAACATGCAGTCTTATTGCGCTGAGAAAACCCAGGAGTAAACACAGTAAACAGTGGTCTATATTAAATGGTGGTTTATATTACACTATCTATCATACACCAAGGACAATATACATACACGTGTTAATACAGCAGGCTCTAACAAACAGCAGTTACAGATGGAAACAGAAGAGAGAGAACACAGCAGCAGAGCCTTCCCTTTTACACAAAGGTTCTTACAGGGAAATAGACCCTGCTGAGTCATTCCCATCAGTACATCATAAATCTCAATTATACAAGCTGGTTAGCTGTTAAATTATTACCTTGACACAAATATAGTAATATAACATATATCTCCTGATTTTTCTTTAGAAAATTCTCTGGGGTATTATCTGTGATCAGCCATCTTGACTTCAGTGCCAATGCTTGTAAATCTTCAAACACTTTCTGATTACAGGGAGGCAAAGTTCAGACTGGCATTAAAGAAATTCCTCACATCTACTGTTTGTGTTGCTGTCTACAATTCAAAAGTGCTTACTTTGACAGATTGTATTGGGAAAAAGTGATTGATGAAAGCAAACACATTGTAGCAAAATATGACTTACAACTGCAAATGCTGTGAATGGGGGTGGGGAAGAAATTGGTTCCTTTCCTTGCTAGTATTTATCATTAAAATTCAGTGTTGAAAGAAAGCATTATTTATAGCTTCCTACTCTAAAATTATTGGCTGCTCAAAATCTGTATTTTCATTACTCTGGAAGTTGTTGTTAAATAAAAAGAACACTGTTAGTCCTTTGGATCCTATGGGCTCCTTTACAGAGAATTTAGAACCAAAGAGATATACTGTACTTTAGCTGCTTCATCATTCAATACACTCTATCATTTTAAAACTTTTTATTCAGATTCTTAATCTGTTTTTTAAAGTAATGCCTAATACTGCTTTAGAGATTGTTTATGGGAGCTGTTGGTCCCTCCAGTTATTATTGTTCATATATTATGTGAGTGGATAAGCACTTTGTATTATATGTAAAAACAGATATGATTTTTTTTCCCACATCATCACATACTTTCACTATATACTGTTGAGGCAGTACTGCTCATACTTTACATAAAGGCATGTAATAGAAATATGTACTTGTGTACAAGCAGCAATTGTGGAATGTGGTACCCAAACTTGCCTATTGCTGTAGTGTATATTATTTCTTTACACTACTTTTCTGGTATACTTATGAATGACTTTGAAAGTACAGACGTGAATTATATACTCTGAAACAAGTAGAAACTAAGTTTGTAGGGCCCTACAAGAAGCTTTTAATATGAAATAATTGTCTTCTGTAAGATTAAAATATGGGATATTCTCTGTGTGAATGTGAAGAACAAGTTATCTTACATATGCTATGGTGCTTATGATGTCCTTCAACTTGTACGGAGGACGACCTCATGCTGGTGAGAGACAATGCTGTTGATGTAGCCTGCTACTGGATGAATGTCATTTAGTTTTATCCTATTTATTTTACATACTTTTTATGTGCGCTATATTTCTATGACTTATTTTGTATCTATTTTACTTGTTCAGTGAGAATCACTTCAAATAGAGGCTAAAAACAGACAAATTGTTCATCAACCTGTAACCTGACAAGAGCATCTGTTAAACACAACTGAAAAGTTAACCTTAAATTCTCTACTGATTTTGAATCAGTATCTGACCATTGCCAATTAGTACTAAAGGATTATAGCTTTGTACCAAGGAAATTTGAAATACTTTGTCTCCCTAACCCCATAACAGGCTCTCAGTACACCAACTGCAACCTCTTACTTGTAGGAGAAGAAAAGCACATTGAATAGAAAAAAATGGATGGTTTCTGTTTTTCAGCACTTCAAGACTCTTTCCACATTCTTAGACAGCCATCAATCAAACCCTAATCACACAACAGTCCTGACATTTTGCCAATAACCTTTTGGCTTTAACCCAAGAGGCAGTTGACAGAAAGAATCAGAGCAGCTGCTGCACTACACTAGTTTCAGTTGCTTTCTTCACTCCAAAGTTAAAATAAGTAAAGCAAATGGTTAAAATGAAGTTTGGCTATGATTGAAATACAAAGTCTATTCTTACTGTATACATGAACTGTGCAGTTTAGATATACATATTAGTCATTTACATTAGTCCAGCCTTTCTATCCAAATGTGCTGTAAATATGATTTAAGAATATCTGTCACCAACTGCCAGGTTTAGGAAGGCTACTTGAACAAAGATGGATTATTTATTTATTATTAAGAAGTTATATGATTATAGATTATGATGGATAATAAGAAAAACTACTAGGATACTGGGCACATTCTGCTTTACTGATAACTCATTTAAATAATTAGAAAAGTTTATAAGTAAACCTCAAAATCAAAGATCTTCCTGACTTAGAAGGACTTTGACTCTTATCAACCTCAACCACTTAGTAACTGGGGAGAATGGAAATTGTAATTTTTATATTCTATATTGGTGTTCTAAAGAGAAGCTTTTTCTTGAATTTAAAGTTTTTCATTCAACATAGATCCTTGGCAATTTCCTTCAATTAAACAATGAAGTTTTAAGATTGTTTTTGTGAGCAATTTTGAGCATAATTTGAAAATTACTAATGATAGTGATGAGGATTCCTAAGTTATATGTCTGTTTTTAAGTATAAACATTTTCAGCCAATCCAGAACACAATTTCTTTGTGATTGTTATAATCGATTGTTCACTGCTAAATAAACTACACTTATATTAATATAGCAGCTCATCAAAACAGGATACTTTAAAGAAATATTGCAATATTGTAAATACCTCAATAAAGATTCTTCTTTAAAGAAACATTTATCAGTTGCACACCACTGTATACAGTTTTTGAGCTATACTTTGAAAAGAGTGTGTTTTTATCAGTATATAAAATACCTATTACTATCATGTTGATCTTCAAGAGACTCTAAAGACTTTTATATGCCAAAACAAAGTTCTCAATTTACTGCATACCACAATGGCATACCAAGAAATCAAGCATCAGGGGAACATTTTAATTTCAATTTTTTTTAAAAAAAAAATACATTGTCTAAGAATAACTGAAAACCCAAATAACTCGTTTTAATCTTGAAGATTTGTATTTTAACAACAAAATAAGTTTACTCACATTGAAGAAATAAATACCTGAAGGGCTATAAACGTAATAATAAAAAGTAACAATTTGTATTTGCTTACCTTTTCTTGTGACTTCAGCCCTTCTTGATTCCTATAAGGAAAATTACATGCATATATATTTTATTATATATTCTGCTTAAAAACATGGGCATTTTTTGACGATCACTTCAAAATACATTTGTAATTAAAGTTTATAATAAGTATATATTAATATTACTTATATGATTTGATTTAGCTAGCTTTCCAACTCATTAAAATGGTTGGGCAGTAGGCACAGTTACAGAATACAGAATAAGGAAAATGAAAATAAATACATGACAGAAAGAAAGCAAAAAAAGAAGGAAAGCAAGGATGACCATCAGCAATAAATTAACATTTCACAGGCTCACCTAAACTCTTATCTCCCATAGCTCGGAGAACAATCAGATAGGTGCTATCTGATCTAACAATTAGATAGGAGCTATCTAATCTCACTGGAAATAATGATTCAGAGGAAAGGTGCAACAATGGAAGACACCTTTCCTGAGATCTACTAGGTGACATTTTTTAAATAGAGGGAACCCAGGGCATGCCTCTCTTACTAGTCCTGATGGGCAAAGGTGGAGACAATCAGAGAAAGGTGGTTTGTCAGATATCCTGGCCCCATGTCATATTGGTCATAAACTTACAAGTTTTTTTATTCCTTTTTGTTCCTGCCTTATATATTGTTTTGAAATATTTAGTAGAGGTTTCAATAAATAATTATATAATCATAATAAAACATTAATAAAAGCTGTTGAATATAGATAACAGAAAATTTGTCTCAATATATCTACCCATAGTGAAGCAAATATTTAAGCATGTAAGCTCTTGAATAATACTTCTCCGACAGCTCTGTAATGATGCCATTGGAAAATGATGCAAAGCATCTATCTGAATATCTGGAACCGCGAATCATTAAACTGAAAAGAATAGCTGTGTTATATTTTCTGCACAGCTCCTGAACTGTAACCCCTTGTAGAATGTTAACATGTTTTATTCTAGATTCTATAAAAAAATTGAGAGTGATTACAATAATCACATACTTTCACTATCATTCTAATTGTGTTATTATTGATTATACAGAAATAATCTGCTTACAGGTTGAGGCCAGTATGTGCCCCAAAATTTAAAATTAGTAGAGAATTCTGGATAGAAATGTTACCAGTTTACAGGACCTTAATTGTGCCCACATTTTATGTTGCTAAGTGTGCCCCATTTTATGACTTTTCTTGCCACAGGTGTTAAGTGAATCACTGATAGTTGTTAAGTGAATCTAGCTTCTCCATTGACTTTATTTGTCAGAAGGTTGCAAAAGAGGATCACATGACCCCAGGACCCTGCAAGTATCGTACTTTGAATGGTCACTAAATGAACTGTTGTAAGTCGAGGACTACCTGTACTGCAAAGATCAGTAAATCAAGTAATAATGTGGCCCTTAAGCAGACATAAGGCATTGCTATATTATTTTCATTATTCTTCAAAACTTCAAAATGTTATCCATGATTGCTTTCACTTCTGCTAACTTGAAATGAATAAAAAATAAAAAAATCTCATTCTTAGTTGCCATTGGTTTTAAAGCAAGAGAAGTCTCCTTTCTACATAAATGGGGGAGGGGGGAATCCCAGTGGCCTGGCACCTTACCAATCTGTCAATTTCACCCTAGTTAATTTTATACAGCCTACTGAGGATGACCTGCAAAGCGATCAAGCTTGTGTTCCTCTCATAGAGCTTGAAGCTCAGAAGCCAGCAGGACAGGTAAAACAAAAATTAAATAAATAAAATAATAAATAAATAAAAACACCTCCAATGTAGTATCTCACAATGGTCTCTACAACCTATCTCTGTGGCAGTTTCAATGACTCTCCAACAATACTAATACTGTGGGAACACAGAGATATTTATATACAGGAATTTCCATATACAAAAAGGCAACTGAAGAACTAAATGTATTTACTACAAATATAAAGTCTTATTTTTACATATTTAACCACCTGATCAATTTCAACATATATTGTAATTATCATGAGCCACTTAGTAGTGACAGCTGTTACAGGAACGTGTTAAGGAAAACAATAGAAGCTCTGTTAAACTGTTCTAAAATATCACTGTTGTCCTCAGAGATTCACAATCCAGCAGTTCTGGATTTTTGTCCAATGCAAAGAAGTGCTAATGTTATCGCAGATATTTAAAGCTGATTAATCTTGAGGAAAAGACCATACACTTCTCACACTTTTCAACATTGATATTTGTATCAATGTTTTAAGATAGAGAATAAAAATAAAATAAAATTTCATTTTCAAGTCAGTCACACTGGAGTGCTTAGGCAAACAGAGCTCACTTCTGCTGTTGAAAGTAGATCTTCAGCCCTGTATGATGAACCTTTAGCTATTGGTACCTGAACTGGGAGGCATGGCTGTCTTTGGCATGATAAACTTAAGATTAAGTTAGATTTTAAAAATCATGTTGTTAGATATGCCATACTGAGCATCTGGAACAGATAAAGCAAGACTGTCACCCCAGTAAGCCTTTTTGAAGAGAAATGATAGTTACATAAACTTGGTTTACTTATTCTGTTCTATGATTTTTTTATTGAGAACCTAAATTTAAAAAGGAGAAAGGTTGGAAAAGGGTTATATTTGTTCATGGTTTGCCTATGCACAATAGGCAAAAAAGTTTAAATTGGCCAGAAAAAAAAAGTGTTTGCAGATGAAAGAAACAGATTTTGAAAGGGAATTATGTACTAATGAGAAACACCTCATTGCCAAGGTACATAAATTGTTGAAAATGAATGAGGATAAATCTTAATGAGTATATGATTAAATGAGCAAAAAACCTTTGGATATAATATTATGCTGGATCAATGGAACAAAATGGATTAATGGACTGAAATTTTCACTAAATTATAATTTGAAAGAAAATCCTTATAAGATGATGTATTGTTGCTTTTAACTCAAATACTTGTTGGAAATGTAATCTGTTGAAAGTATCTTTGGTGGACATATAAGACTACCAAGAAGTATTGGGATTGGATATATCATTTGAGTCAGAAAATATTAAAAATGAATGCAAAATTGAAATCAGAAGTGTTTCTTTTAGGTATTATATATATTCTATATAACTGTTATTTAGATTGTCTAGTCTGCATATTTTTATATGATGTCATTGTTGTATTTTAATTTAGAGTAAGAGGTTACTTTACTGTATGTTTGTACCTATACTGAAAAATGTCAGAAGGTAATTTTTTTTTTGTGACTTCAGGTCCAAGAATATTCTCTGAAGTTAGTTTTATCCACCATTTCTTAAACAAAATGAAACCTGGTTTTGTAATAACTGAAGCACCAATTCTTTTCTGCAGATTTTACCACATCTCTTGGAATTGGAATAATTTCTTATAATTGTTTAATGATGTTTGTGTCAAAGCCAACTATTGATTACATTCTCTCCATCTTCTTAACTTTATTATCTGATATACTGTAATAAAAAAAATCTGTTTTTGGAGTGTAATGTGTGTTCAACAGAGATCTATATCACTTAGAGATTAGAAATGGTTAAAATTTATTACACACATGCAGGGTGTGATTTTTACCAGCTGTTGTAAATTTTCTGCCCCTCAAGATACAATACTATAAGCTGTAATCATACTGTACTATAGGAATAGGCCATAACAGCCTTGTTGAATAATAAGGATGCAAAGGGCAAGACAGAACAGATTTAGAGCGATTTTGGAACCAATTATAAAAAGCAAGGCGTCTAAGTTTTTATTTCCTGTTTTGAACCAGTTTTAGCCTTAGTGAAGAGGCAGATGGAGTAACATGCTATTTGCCCAGATTTTTGTTAACAGGCAAAACTTCATATTCTGTCTCTGATATTGCAAATACTGGCCATTATTTTGATTTTGGGTCCTTATTGTCTAAATATTTTTGATGTCATGTTTTTCACTGCAACTGTTATCAGATTTTGGAAAAGTGTAAACTCATATCATAATTCATCCTATCCACTTCCTCAGAGTCAACAAAGCTAGATGAATGCAACATAACAAGATTCTCCCTGTTCACTTCCTTCACCTTTGCCCAGGTGGAATTCAGGCCAGAGTGAATTAGAGAAATATTATTCATGAAATGCTGCCCCATGGCCTTACCAGAGCCCTTGTGAAAAATTTTCTTCCCACTCTTTAGAAAAGTATGAGTAACGCTAACCAAAGCAATGAGGTACACAATCTACAAGCATAAAAAGGTGCACCCTTATTGTTTTTTAACAATATTTATACCTACCATCATGGGCTCTGAGGGGGAAATAGTAGATTAATACCAGTATAACTTAGAAAAAAATGCAAATTTCATTAAAACTACCTTATGAACAATTCTCCTATTAGTGACATCCAAATTCAATTAAAGGCCAAAATATAGGTTTAATTGCAGGTAAGGGTGGAAGCCACTTGTATTTCTGGTGAAAGTTGTTGTCACAAGTTCCGACTAATGAAGCACTTCAAAAAACTTTCAGGCATGTTTCCTAAAGTCTTTATTTGCAGAGCTACAAATTATGCCGGTCAACATTGGACTAATTGATGCCAGAATCTGAACTTCCGGTGGCTGGCATCAAGCTTTCCTTGCTCAACCCCTCCCTCTCATGCAGTCACAGGTCACATTATCCAATTAGTGAGAAGGTCAAAAGTTTACTTCCTCTTTCTTTCCCAGGCTTTTTTCCCCCCGCCCAGTCTAAGCTAAGTATTAACCCAATAAATGCCCAACAGTTTTGCATATTGTCAAAGCAAGAATATACAGTATTTGCAGCATTGACATCCGGCCCCCCTTACAAGAAGGACAGATCCTGTAAGGAAAACAAAAGCATTTGTTAAGGGTTATCTTTCGGTTTGCTGGGGTGTTTCACATGAAACTTTTCGATCAATCTGTCAGCGTTCACTTCACTAGATTTCACCCAGGTGGCTTCAGACAATGGGTATCCCTTCCATTGTACCAAGTACTGTAATTTCCCTCTAAAGATTCTGGAGTCAAGAATACGTTTCACTTCATAGTGGGTCTGCCCTGCCACTACGAGGGGTCCAGGTGCCTT